TGGGAGTCAATGTCAGGGAAAGGGGGCAGAGGGATCAGTGGAGACTTCTGAGGGAAAGGCCACTTAAGCCCCCTTAAATAGCCTCTGGGTTCCTGTGGCAGAGCTGGACTCCAAGACATGTCTGGGAGCCATGAGTTGTACCAGGAAGGGCTGGGGACAGAAGCTCTTCTTGCTAGAGCTTAGGAAAAGAAGTAGGCAAAGCTTCAGGGAACACAAACAATCAACTCAGAATAAAATTATCAGATCTCTGTGGCTGTTCAGCCTCTCTCCTCAACCACTCACCAGGGAAATGTTCCCAGAAAATAGATGCAGAGCTAGGAAAGGGAGAGAGAAAGGGAAGGGGCAGGAGAAGAAAGAGATAGAGAAAAAGAGACTGCCCCCCGCCTACACACATGTGCTTGCACACAAGGAAGCTAGTCTGTATATTTCTGGGCATGCACGTCTGTTTCTGCCTATGGTCAAGTCGCTGGGCATTTCCCTTTCGGTGCTTCGCTGTGCTGTGCTTTTCTCTGTGAGTATATAAGCTGCGAGGGCATCTCTCTGTGTATGTCCACGTACAACCATGGGAATGCTTCATGTACACATGTGTCTACGTGTGGCTCTGCCCACTCCCTGCACCCCATTTTGTGTGTCCGCCTGCCTGTGTGCATATATCTTCTGTGGGTTCACGTGTGCACATGCGCTGTCTGTGTGCCTGGCTCCCTGGCTGGTCTTGTCTCCAAGCATTTCTCTGGGGCCTTTGCATTCTGAGGTTAGGAGTAGAAGGGCCTTTTATTTCCACCCCCACCACCAAATTTTCTTTTTTTCTTTGAGACCGAGTCTGGCTCTGTTGCCAGGCTACAGTACAGTGGTGCAATCTTGGCTCACCGTAACCTCTGCCTCCCGGGTTCAAGTGATTCTCCTGCCTTAGCCTCCCGAGTAGCTGGGACTACAGGTTGCCCGCCACCATGCCTGGCTAATTTTTGTATTTTTAGTAGAGACAGGGTTTCATCATGTTGGCCAGGATGGTCTCCAACTCTTGACTCATGATCTGCCCACCTCGGCCTCCCGAAGTGCTGGGATTACAGGCGTGAGCCACCGCACCCGCCCGGCCCTATTCCCCCTTTTTAAGCAATCTGCACAGCCCAGGAAATGGGGAAGCGGAAGTATGGTGAAGAGGCCACTTGTCGCTCTCAAAGTGTTTTCATCTTGGAAGGAGAGACAGCAGTCACCCAAGGAGTCACTGATAGAACTTCTCCCGGCTCCCCAGGTCCAACAGCCATGCTGCTCAGAGAAGGGGCAGGGGCACGAGGTGGGGTGGGGTGAGGTGAGGAGAAACAAGAGCTGAAGGAACTCTTCCTCTTTACCCCACCTTGAAATGAGCAGGGAAGATATGAAAGAGAAACACTTTGGGGTCGGTGACTTTTTCTTTTCAACCATCATTATTAAAACATTACTCACCTCCTGGAATGGGGCTCCCAGGTCAAGGGGAACCCTAGTCTCTTGAAAGCCAGCTCCTTCATGGGCGGGCTTGAAACGATCTTTGCAGAGGCCTGAAGCCCATCCCCACACCTCGTTTTAACCCCCTGCTTCCCAGCTTCTACCTCTAGTTCCCTCTCAGCTCCATCATGGCCCCCTCCTGCCTCCTCCTGGCCAAGTGAGGCCTGGGAAGGAAAGGGTTATCCCGGGGGCAGTGGGGATGGGAAACACCTGTAGGATGCCTTTTGGAAGGAAGAAGCCTTGTACATTCAATTGAGAGGAGCTTTGCCATCACTATAATGGGAGGAATTGGGATTAGACACCAGGCAGAAACTAGACAGACTTTGAGCAGGGGAGGAGAGAAATGAGAGTCCCGTCAGCTTCTTGGCGGAAGCAGGAAATCACTGTCCACCTTCTCAGACTTTTCCTCTCTCTACCCACGTCCCTTATAAATTCTGGGGAGGTCCTTGATCTCCAAGGCCCCCGTCTACACAGGCCTCAGCTACCGGGATAACATTCCATTGACTCTCTGGATACAATCCCAGAAGCAAGTCCAGGCATCCAAACTCAAATGAGGTTTGGAGCTGAGTAATCAGCTGCTATGGCTTTGCAGACATTTTGTCGGGGAACAACCAGCTCCCCACCCCCACCTCAGATTTTGGGGTGGAGGAGGGGCGGCCATCACTGGGTGTCTTCCCCCTCAACCACCACCACATTCTCCCTCTTCCCACCTGCAAGTAATTTGGCCAATGGGAGGGCAGTTAAGATTGCAGTGTGGAATCCCTCAAGATCTGTGTGTATTTGGTGAGGAGGGGGCTACCTCCCTTCCCCTCAGACCCCATGTGCCCTTTTCCTCTTCACAGCAGCAAATTACTTGTAATTATCTCACATTGAAAGCCTTCAGGAGCCGGTCCCAAAATTGCTTTAATTGAATTAATTAAATCTCATTTTGCTGGGAGAAAACATGGAGGCATGACTTAAAATAGTATATGGGGAGAGGGAAGGTGAGTGGCCCAGAAAGGAGGGGAAGCCCGAGTCAGCTTTCCCGTAGCTGAGACCCTTGTAGTACCCTGGCCATTCTCTGGACACACTTTCCCGTCTTCCAGTTGCAGCTGACTTCAGACGCACTGTGCTGCGTCTTCTGCATTCAGGACCTTGCCCGCATCCAGCTCTCGGATGGTGGTGACCATCGATGTTTTGAGTTCTCCAGCCTCAATCCTCCTCTGCCCTCCTAGGAGGCAGTTCTCCCAGGGGCAGAGGTGAATGGATGGCAGTAGGAATTCCCCCTCGCTGAAACCCCTCCCCTCTCGTCCCCGGATAATAACAGCAGTTGTAAATGCCATTTATTAAGTGCTTACTATGTTCCAGGCACCATGTCAAGCATGTTACAAGCACTATCTCATTTTGTCATCACAGTCACTCTGCAAATCAAGTCCTATTAGTATTCACATCTTGGGTGGGGGTGGGAGATGGGAATAAGCAGGGCTCAGAGAGAGGTTAAGTAACTTACCAAAACTCACACTGCTAGAAGGTGACAGAGCTGGGACTCTCTGTAGCTTAAAGCCTCTGTTCTTAACCATCCAGTCTTGGTCCCCCTCCCTTACTGACCCAATTTTCCCAGTGGGGCTCCCCCAGGGGAAGGAACCATGGGGTTCTCCTTCTACAACCCTGATGGCCTGAGGGAAGGGAACGGGCACCTCCTCCACCGGGGACTCCAGGCCCATCGCCACCCAGGAGCTCAGGGAAACTGCACCAGCTCCCAAATGGAAAAGAGATTCCCATTTCTCCTGAAAGGATGGATAGAAGGAAGGGGGCGGGGGGGGGGCAGGGGGGGGGGGGGTGGCGGGGAGGTGGCGGGGGGAGGGGGACGCTGTCAGCTCAGCTGGCCTCTAGCTGAGAGAGTAATTACACTCCTTCTGCTACTTAACTTTACAACCTGGGCTGTTGTTTTAACAATGTGACTTGTGTTGGGCTGTCCAATTAATCTCGCCTTTGGAGGCTTTCCTAGATGGGGCGGTAGATCTTATCTTGGGTCTGTGGAAAGAGGAGTGTGCAACCTGCAGTGGGCGGGAACAGCTGCCCGGAGGGCCTGTGGCCTCAGAGGAGACCAAGAGAAGAGAACTGGGGCTGGGGTGAGAGAGCCAGTGGAGCCTGGGGCTTGGCGCAAGGGAAGGCATTGGAGGAAGTGGAAGATATTTGTCCTCCTGGCACTCCCATTCCTCACCACTCCTGGATCTTGGCTTTGGTCTACCCGTGCCATGTGCCATCCCCAAGAGAATCCTCTGGGTGTGTTTTGTGGAATAAGGGTGGTCACTGACCCAAAACAGGGTGAGGAATAGGGGCTGAGGAGGAACTGACTGTAGGCATCAGGAGCTGGGGGATTTCATACCCCTCTGCCCTACATATGACTCCAATGTGGGCTTCTCTCTGGCCTGCAGAGGTTGGCTGGAAGTGTCTGAGTGGGCTTTTCAGACTGGGGCAGGCACCCAGTTTGCAGTGTCTGGGAACAGGTCTAGGCAGTAAGAGGGAAGCTCAACTTGGAAGATTTTTGCCTGGATTTGGAGGCCCCTCCCCCAGCCCCTCAGGCCATGCTGGGCTGGATTCCCTGAATTATTCTGCCACCCTTGTCCTCAGCTCCTCTCCCAAGGCGCTCCTTATCCTGCTGATCCTGGTGGAAGTGGGGGTGGTGCTATGTGTTCCAGTGGGGTGTGGTGGCCAGGAGTCTGTCAGGTCCTGCTGCTCCCCAGGCCGCCTGCCCTTCTCGCCCTGCACTGAGCCCCCTGGCCCAGCCTGAATTGGAGGCCCTTGACAATACCCACACCTCCATCTGCGTTTTCCTTTGCCTGGAACTCACCACACCAGCGTCTGGTCATTCGTTTGCCTCGGTCACCATGGTATCCCAAGGATCTATGGGTCCACCTGCACCCCTTCTGGGCTGGGAGGAAACCAGCTCCAGATGGGTTTTCTCTGGAGGACAAGCAGTTAGAGGAGAAAAAGGAATGGGACAGAGGCTGTACCCCTAACCCAGAGCCCAGGGTCTCCACATGTTTGTTGGATGGAAGAGAATTCCAGTTCCTTTTGGTGTTTTCCTTCTCAGACCTGCCCCTCCTCCTTCCCCAAGGTGAGCTGAGGCCATCCTGCCCCCAAGCAGCACACTTCTCCAGGTAGGACTGGACCGGATCCGTGGGTGTGCCCTCTCTCAAGGTGAACAGGGCCTCTCCCTGGGCTAAAGGTGGGGCCTAGGGACTGTAAGGTGCCTGGCTCCCTCTAGAACTGGAGAGCGTCTGCTGGGCAGTCGCACTCAGACCCCGCATGAGCATCTCCTGGGTTCACACGGGAGCATATTAAATTGTGGACGTTGTTAGAACATTCCAAAGCCAGAATCACAAAGTTAGTTAGTGGCCAAGACAAATCTAGAATCCAGTGCCTCTGATGCCTGTAATTCCATGGTAGAAGAGTCAGATGGGCCAGAAGAGATGCGTGACCAGGCCCTACCCATAAGAAGTCAGGAAACAAACACATCTCACACCCAGAACGCAAAGTTTTGTACAAACTTTAATCTCTGGAAGCTGGTGGTGTGAAGCTCAAGCTCCAATTCGTTCTAAATCTGCACAGTTTCTTTGAACAGAGACAGCTGCAAGGAGCTGAATCAATGGGCCTACCCACCTATTTGGGGGTGTCTATACCCGTACTAATCCAGAGAGCCAGTTGGTCCCCATTTCCCCCCAAGTGTTACCAGGTTTCCAAAAGTGTGTGCCTGTGGGTTCATTAGGGACTAGGGATGGGGAATAGGAGGGAGCTGCTCAATAAATACCTATTGAATTATATGTATAATTGGTTCCATTATCTATTCAAAAAGGGGAGACGGGGGTGGGGGGGTGGGAAAGAGGGTTTTTTTTTTTTTTTTTTTTTTGGAGGAGAGTATAAATTACCCATAGGTCCACAAATTCCACATTTCTCTGCATCTCTTCTACCTTCCTGGATGGTAAGTAGGTAAATCAGTTATGGGGGTAACGGGCTGATCTCCAGGGAAAAATTGCTGGGTGGGTGGGAGCTAATGGTGGTCCACTTCTGCTTTTGCTCACAAATGGGTTAGGCAAGGCCCAAGGCACACAAAGAAAAAAAATACTTAATGTTTCTTATTGGTTTTGCACCCAGGCTGTAGTGGGGATTCAGTCCTTTTCAAGAAGGCAGGGGGAGGGGAAAGAGGGAGAGGGAAGAAGGAGTGGGGGAGTGGCAAGACCAAGGGTCCTGGGGACAGTCTCAACTCCAGCCAATGGCTCTCTCTCTCCAGAGCCTTTGTCCAGCTGGAGGGAAGGTGTCCAGTCCATGGTAGTGGTGGGGACAATGACTATGGCTGAGGTCCTTGATTTAGATGTTTGGGTTAGGGGTACAGCCTCTGTCCCATTCCTTTTTCTCCTCTAACTGCTTGTCCTCCAGAGAAAACCCATCTGGAGCTGGTTTCCTCCCAGCCCAGAAGGGGTGCAGGTGGACTGCCTGGGTCCTGGACTTTGCAGGAGGGCTGGGGGCCTGGCCCGCCCTTCCCCAGATTCACATCATCTGAGGCGAAGCCAGGACATCTGAGGAGTGATGCTGATACCAGGCTCCAAAGCTGTTGCCATAGCCACTGGTGGGCAGAGTCCCTGCCTTGGGTAGATCCCAGAGGGAGGGGAGCGGGGGGGAGCAGGGAGACACAGAGAAGGTCCTCCCAGGGAAGTCCCCTTCCTGCCCCCCAGAGTTCTGCTTCAGGAGCTTCTTATACTTGGAGCGTTTGTTCTGAAACCAGATCTTTACCTTTGGGGAGAAAAGGGGAAAGAATGAAAGATCAGGAGGAAGGTATGTGTGAAAAGTTTCGAGAAAGGGAAAGGGATCCAGGTGTAGGTGCAGTCCTGGGAGACCAGCAGAGGCTGGGAACATTTGCTCCAGTCCCCCAGAGCCCCAGAAGTCTCCTGAGTTCCTGCCTCTGAGCTAGTATCCATGTCTCCCTGTCTGCCCTACCCTCCTCTTCCTGACCCCCTCCACCCCACCCGCACCTACATGCACACCTTTCAACACATTCCCCCCAAGGCTTACTAACAGCCAGCTATGAACATTCCCTGGAGAACTGTGACAACAGGGCCACAGCACCACGCCATCAGTCATTCACAGCTGGGGCTGGGGGATGAGTTCCCAGAGAACACGTGTGGGGAAGGTGAAAGCTGGGGAAGGATGACACTGGCCCCACCTGGGTCTGGGTGAGGCCGAGCTGCGCTGCCAGCTGGGCCCTCTCGGGCAGCGCCAGGTACTGCGTGTGCTGGAAACGCTGGTTTAGGTGCTGCAGCTGCAGGCTGGAGTAGATGGTCCTCGGTTTGCGGAGCTTTTTGGCTGGAGCCTGAGGGCGCCGCTCCGAGGGTTCCGGGGACGGCCGCGGCTTCTCTGAGTCTGGTGGGCAGCACAAAACGGTGTAGGGGGCGAGGAGGGAGCGAGGGGGTAGGATGGGCAGTTTCATAGGCTTATTGGCATCTCGTCTGCAAGCCGTCGGCGGCAATTATCAAAAAGCGCAGCCACCAGGGTCGCCCCCTTGGCCCCTGCCTTCTACTTTCCGCGTGGAGCGATTCAACCCCCACGTTCACCGCGCCAGGTGATACAAGGGGCAGTTCTGCTCCCAGGGAGCTCCCACTCCTATGGGTTCTGTGACCCTAGGAAGAAAGCGCCGAGGGCCACAGCCAGGGTACCTCGGAGCCTGCGGTGGGAGGTCGGAGTTCAGCCCCGGGCGGTGGCGCCAGCTTGGGGTAGGGCGGGGCAGAAAGGCTAGGTCCTGGGCTGAGCCGAGGCCTAGAGATGACAGAGGAAGGACACAGCAGGCGGAGGGAACTCAAGAGCAATGCTCAGAGGCTTGAGATGGTGTCCGCGTGGCAGCCTCCGGCTGCGGCCAGCGGGGTGGGTGAGAGGCCCGGCTGAAAGGACCTTGAATCCCAGCCTCGCAGCGCGGATAGAGACCCCAGGTTTGCCCTGGCCTCGCCTACTGTAACGGGCTGCCCCTCTGCTCAGGCGCACCCAGCAGGAAAAGTGACCATCACTGCCCCGCCACACCGTGGCCGGCTGGGTTTCCAGGGACCCCCAGAAGCCGGATCTGCGTGGGGCAGCCCCTTCCTTCGTTGGGCGGCGCACACAGAGCGGTTCCGGCGGCAGGGAAGGTGACCCGGGTCCCGAGAGCGCGCAGCGCAGCCCGGCAGGGCCACTCCTGGATCGCGCTGCGGTGCCGCCGCGGGGGATCTGGTCAGCTCTGGCCCTCCTAGCTCTCCAGGAATCTCGGCCGTGGGACAGCCCGGCCCTAGAATGCTGAGGGGCAGGGGAGGGCTGGGCCGAGGGGTTTCCGTTCTTCGAGCCGGCCACCCTAACCTGCGGGGCTCTACGGGGACGCTGGAGAGGTCCCAGGGCGATCGGAGGAGTAGGGCGGATGAAGCAGCCGCAATGCCCGGGGGCTTAGGGCAGCGTTCGCCGCATTCCCTGCAGGTCTGCCAGCCGACCTGAGCCGAGAGAGAGCGGCTTGTGTCCGCCCGCGTCCCCCCACCTTCTTCCCCTAGTCGGGCTCACCCTCCACACGTCAGTGTACCCGCCCTCGGCCAGCCGCGGTCACCAGCTGCCGTCACCTCCCCCGCATCCCTCACCCGTGGCCTCGGGCGCTGCGGGCTTCTGAGATCCTCCCTCCTCGACCCTGCCTCAACCAATTCCCAGAAAAACCGTTGAGTTTCCGCTCCCGCCCGCGCCTGTCCTGCCTCCCCTGCCTCGACCCCACTGCTGGCAGCTCTGGGCTGGCAGCCCAGAGCCCACCCGCGCCTCTCTGGCTGCGTGGACTGTGCAATTCGAGCGGCGACGCAGAGAGTCTCTGAGGCCAACCCAGTTGCTGAATTCGCACAGCCCTCCGCGCCCCATCTCTCCCAGCAGACCCCCTCCAAGTTCCTTCCCTGACAGCTGTCTTTCCCTACCCCAGTTCCAGCAAGTCACGACTGGATCTGCCCGGGTCGCGATCATGGAGCCCCAAGGCCTCTCTCCAGGCCCGCTGCTCCCGACGACTCAACGGGGTGGTGGCGCCGCTCATTTGGAGCCAAACCCCTTCCCAAGGCAGGAGTGGACATAGAGTGGAAGTAAAAGGAGGACCCCAAGCTCTCGATCACACGCCCTCCACTCCAGAGCGCCCGAACCCACCAGTTCCAGTAGAGAAATGCTAGAAATGTACTCTAAGGAAATCTGGGTGTGTGTGGTTTTTCGTTGGATGGGGGAAAGTCCTTAAAGAAAATGAACTCTCCACTCTGTTGTCCTTAGATCAAACAAAGGGAAGGCAAGGGATGTGTCAGACAAGACTGACAACACCAACCCTACTGCCAGCAATTCTCCTGAGGACAAGGTCGTGGTATTCCCACCCTAGTCCCCAAATGCATAACACAAACACATCTTATTAGCATACACTAAAGGACAGTCAAGGGGATTCATTTGTAAAAACTAGAACTACTCCTCCCTGCAACTGCCGCTACTCCAACCATACCCCGCAGCCCAGGAGAGACAGCCACAGTTCTGTCACTGAAGGCAGTTAACTTTTGGAGGGTTGGAGGAAGATCCCTAAAATCGATGCTCCTGGCCGCATGCTTTGCCCATCTATAGGTCAAAAAAGTTGAGCTCCCAAATCCTAGGGTCACTTCTGGCTCTGATGGTTTGTGAGCATGTCAGAGCCACAGGAGAAGGGAGGAAGATGTCTTGGTCCTGAGCTGACTCCAGTGAAGTCAGTGACCTAGTGGATATGCCTCCTTGGAAGAGACTGCCAAAGACAATTGCAGGGGGAGGGGGTGGGCAATTAGATGGAGGCAGATAGTCCAGGGACCTGGAGGCTAAGCTGGAGCCAGTGCAGATGGGATTGTGGACAATGCCATACCCACATTGTATGTCAGCTCAGCTGCAAGACCCAGGATCCCAAAGATGGGCCAGGTTCTCCACTTCATTGAGGCCTTCCAGTGAGCACTTTCTCAGGAGCTCAGAGTTGCTCCAGGCAACGGGAACTGTGGCCTTACCTACCCCAAAGTCAAAGAGTGGAGATGACAGCGATGGCCTCTCCTTTGACTGGAAGGCTGAGGTAGTCAGGGAAAGATGAGGGACTTTCTGGCCAACTTTTGGCTACCTTCTCGGAACAATGGATGGAGGGATCCTAGTTCCAGATTCTGCCAGGCCAGCTTCCAGTCAAGGTCAGGCCTGGTCTGAGGAGAGCAGGTAAGGCCAGGGAAGGGAGAGGACAGAGCCCAGAATAAGCCTCAATGTCTACAGCCCTCTCACTAGGATTTGATTTGTTTTTCAGGGTTTGGCTTGATCACTGCTTTCTGAGACTAACCCAGAGAGGGGCGACATGGGGCAGGAAGGGAGTGCAGGATGGGTTGTGGCGGGGGGGACCGGGGGGATTTCTGACCAAAGGACTAGGCCCCCATCCCCACATCTGGAGTGCTTCAGTTTTCCGTTACTACTAGGTATGCACAGCCCCGCCGCTCCAGGTTGGGGGTGGGAGGGAGCCCTTTCCCCATCTTTACACAACTGCAAATCGAAACCAGGTCGGTTTTGAAAGGAGACCTAGATCAACTCTCCCCCGCCCCTCCCCCCGTGTCTCCCGCCCCATCCCTTCACCCTCCCCCCCACCCCCACTTCCCAGGGAATCCAAGTAGGGTTTGAATCCCGCTAGCTGCGTCCAACCAGGCGAGGGAGAAGTTTAGGGGCACACAGGAGCCGAACCCCAGAGGTGGGAAGAGCCGCCACGGCCGAACTTACCTGCCTCGCGTTCCTGAGGGTGCTCTGCGGGGCCGCAGAGGGGCTGAGAGAGTGCCGCGGGTTGTTGGCAGGGCAGGTAGGAGTCTCCGGGGTTCGCTGGCTCGGTGTAGGGGTAGGACAGGAGGTGGCCATACGGCCTGGAGTAGGACAAATTGGGGGAGGCTGCGGTTGTAGGGGACAGGCCAAGAGGGTAGGCAGCCGCTACCGACGGGACGGGGGCGAGATCTGGGAAGACAGCTTTGGAGGCGTCCCGGCCGGGGAGGGGGCAGGGCAAAGAGGTCATTGTGTCCAGGGCCCCGGCAGAAGGGCCATGGCCCGGCACGTAGTCCGCTCCCTCTGCCAACTCTCTTTTCCAAGCCTCCGGCGTTGGGCCGGACTGGCCCCCCAGCTGGCAGCCCCCACACTTAAGATCCCAGAGAAAGTGTCTCTCTGAGCCTCTTTCAGCGGAGAACGCGCGCCTGGGAAAGGGGTTCCGGGGGGGTGCCCCCCCATGGCTTTCCCCTCCCCCCTAAATCCATGGGGGCCCCCTCCTCTCCTTCGGGTTCGGTTCCCGGGACCCGACGGGGGCCCCGCCCTCTTAGACGTCCCGGATTGGCTACCGCCCGCGGTGACCTCACCGAGACTTGGAGCCGGGCCCCGCCTCCCGGGACAGCCCGCGGTAGAGAAGTGTGAAATAGGAGGGGGGCGGTGCGCACTCTCCAGGCCGGTCTAGCTAGAGGTCTTCTCCGAGAGGTGCTGGGGTTGCAGGGCGATTGGTGCAGTCCAGGAACCTCGGTTATAATGGCAGAAATGCTAGAGAGGTGGCGAGTCTGGATGCCCAAGGGACAGGGAGCTGCGCGGTGGGCAGAGGCCCTGCGGCCGCGGAGACTCAGGGAATCTGCATTCGCAGTCTCCCGATTTCGGGGTCTACACGTCGATTCTGGTCCAGCCGCAGTGGACCTGCAGGGGAGTCAAGTGCAGACCGCCAGCGCCAGCCGCTTAGTCAGTGCGTCGGAATGCGCCGCTGCTGAGCGCCGGCAGTTTGTTGGTAAATAGACGCCGGGGCTGGGAGGGTGCCGCCCGGCGCCCAGCCTGCCCCGTACGCGTGTGGCGCGCACGCCCCCGCGGGGCGCCCTGGGCCTGGCACGCCGAGACCGCCGCTGCTGCACCCCACCGTCCCCCGTGCTGGCTTCCGCTTCCGGCAGGGGCCCGGGTTTGGTTGCGACACCGCAGCTCCTCGCAGGCCCCCGAAGCTGAAGAAGGGATCCGCCCTCTGGGCTTTAGCCTCTGTGGTACCCCGCCTTTGCTGGCGCAGCGGGAGGCTGAAGTGTTGCTTGAACCCGGACGAAATCTGGGAGTGGGAGATGAGTCCAGTTGGATGGCTCCTGGGCGGGCACAGGAAATACTGCAGGCCAGTCTCCCTGGTGCATTTTCCAGGCTGTGTTCAGGACTTGCTTCTAAACATTAGTATCCATGGCCTTGATGGATACGTGTCCACGTATACAAGCATTTATTGACACGTGTACACAGCTACACAGGCACTCCATTCAAATACAACATATATACTCACATATACCAACATAGAGGTGCCTACACTGATGTTCACACTAGCATTTGTCTATAAAAAGGGAGGTTCATTTATAGATCTGCAAACAGTTTAGGCTGTGATATGCATACATCTACATACCTAAAGATGAATGAGCACTATCTCTGAATAAAAACACTATCTAGTACTTGTCTCTTACATAGATTCACAAGTATACAAGTCAAATCACTGGTGTGCATACTCGAAAATATAGAAGATCCAAGCACATAACATTTATACTTGTGTTCCTACCCTATGAGAGATACCTGTCCACACACATCTAAGATGCCTTATGTTGTTAGGGGAGAAACCGTTCCATCCCTAAACCGCCAGTCTTCACAAATTCCCCCACATACCCAAACACCTGTTCCCACTTTATGCAACTTGGCAGGCATATTCATGCTCTCCTTGTTAGGGTTCAGAGTGAAGGTAGCAGTCGTAGAATTGGGAGATGGAAGAGGATGGTGATAAGAAAAAGAGGAGATCAGGCAAGGTGGCTCAGGCCGGTAATCCCAGCATTTGGGGAGGCCGAAGGCAGGCAGATTGGTTGAACTCAGAAGTTCGAGACCAGCCTGGGCAACACAGTGAGACTTATCTCTACAAAAAGTACAAAAATAAGCTGGTCATGGTGGTATATGCCTGTAGTCCCAGCTACTCAGGAGACTGAGGCAAGAGGATCACTTGAGCCCTGGAGGTCAACTCAGCATGAGTTGAGATTGTGCCACTTCACTCCAGCCTGACTGACAAGTGAGACTCTAAGTCGAAAAAGAAGGAGAAGGAGGAGGAGGAAGAGGAGGAGGAGGAGGAGGAGGAGGAGGAGGAGGAGGAGGAGGAGGTGGCAGCCTGGAAGAATAGGAGAAAACACTGGTTGGGGAATGGCTGAGCCCAGGCCTCCTTAAAGAGGCAAAATCAATCAAATGGGTGTGCAGGGGTGGTTGGAGCTCACTGTCAGGCGTCCTGCAAGGAGGAAGAGCAAGTCTATTTCAAACTAGACTCCCCAGTGGAATAGACAGAGGTGAGTTTTTCCAAGGAGAGACTCCTCTAGCACCTGGCTTGGAGCTCTTCATCTTGAAGTCTTGGAGCAGGGACGAAGGGGCTCTTGAAGGGAAGCTTCCTCCTCTGGGCAGCTGGAGAACCCACTCCCATCTCATCCAACAGGGTGTGGAGGGTTGCTCCGTAGAGAAATGCTTATTCTATGTGGGACTATCTTTCTTCCTTTCTTCCTCAATTCTAGCCATGCCACCATCTCCTTAGAGCTGGAGCTGTGAACCTGTGAGGATATATATCCTTCTAAACCTTCCATTCTACCATCACCATTTTCCTCTACAGGGATGGAGGCAGCCTTACAGCAGTGCTAAGGAGAGGTTTCAGGGATGGCATCAAAGGTGTGCATCAAAGGAAGAGAATGTTTTTTTGGGTGGGGTTGGCTGTGAGGGAGGGTTTCCCAAAGGAAGTGCTTTTGAGCTGGAATTGACAGGATGAGTGGAAAGACATTTCCTCTTAGAACCATATGCACAGGATTCTTTCTTATAAGACCTAGGAAAGAAGGGCAGGCATGGGTTTTCTGGCAGGGCTCTGCCACAGTTGGCTTTGGGCATCCTCCAAAACCAGGAGGTCCTCAGTGCATACTTGTCTTAAGTTCTAAGCTCTCAGGGCATCTCTGAACTCAGAGGATCTTCACCCCTATGCAGCCACAGGACATACTCTGCAGCCCTTTAGAATTTATCAAGCACTCATAACATCCAAGTCCTGTGCATCTACACACACACACACACACACACACACACACACACACACACACACGCTCGAACCCCAGGTACTATTATCCCCATTTTACAAATGAGGAAACATCTCCTTCCATTATCACCTGTTTCTTCAAGGCTCGCTTCTCCTATATTCCAGAGGGTGTGGGGCTGGGGCACCTGCTTGGAATAACCTGGAGTCTCCTCAGAAGCAGGCTTCCCAAGGAGGGATCCTCTCCAATAGGACTCTCATCTCATCAACCTCAGGAAAAGTGGACATGGTGAGGATGTGGGCTGGGAAGCGCAGTAATCTCGTATTGGATTAGATGGGAGAGAGGATGCTTGCTTAGGAAAAAAGTTGGACCAGTACAGAGACGATTAGCATGGCCTTTGCACCATGATGACACGCAAATTTATGAAGCAATTCCATATTTTACCAAAAATTTTTAAAGAGGGAGGGCTGGCTTGAGACGCTTGAGGCTTGGGTTCTGATCCAGTTCAGCCATGAAGTTGCTGGTTGGGATAGTTTGCATCAGTCATTTGCCTTCTCTGAGACTGGTTTACCCAGAAGGGATATAAGAACTGAGCTGGACTAAGAACTCCAAGCCTTTGTCATTTGCTTTACGACAAATTGCAAAAACTAAAATCCAAAACCATAAGAAGACCAAGAAGAAGAAGGGGAGAGGAGGAGGGATGGAAAGAAGGAATACCTCAGGCCCCTGGGTCGTCACAAAGGCCAGAAGTGGCTCTCCCAAGTCTCCCTCACAGACCTTCTCGCTTAGCGCAAGTGGCCCGCTCAGAAAACTCCAGCACCCTGGCGATGCCGTGGGGGGCAGACCTCGGCGTCCAGAGTTGGGGGGAGGGCATACGGCGCCGCGGGGGTCTAGGGATTGGGCCCAGGCGCGGGGCTTGGACCTGATCCGCTAGGTGGACGGTAGTTTGCTTACTCTTCTCGGGTCGCCGGGCAAAGGCCATCGCAACTGCTCCGGTAATAATTCCTTGCGCAGCGTAAGCACCCACGGCGGTGGGATGCACTCCTTGTTTGATCACCCCGAGTTCCGACTTTCCCGGTAGCGGGAATTCCCTCAGAACCAGCCCCATCCCTGGCGGTCTATCACGGGCACCCCTAACACTTGGTGAGTGCGCAGAGCTCTCGGCACAGTCGCTGGGCTCGATACGGTGCCTACCGCACGCCCCAGGAGCAGAGGTCTATGTCTGCCCCTGCAGCCGGACGCCGAGGTCTGTAACCCCGAGCCAGCACTCAGAGCTCACCTGCGCGGCTCTGCCCAGGGAAACAGAGATTCGACCGCGACCAAGTCCTCCGCACTCCGCGGCCCTTCCGGGATTATCCGTGCCCTTTCTCCTCCATCCCACCCACCGGCCCCAAAACGAACTTTTTGTATAGTGTTGTCGTTCGCAGTGGATTTTAAGTTTTATTTGGAAGGACCTTTCTTTCTTAGTAACTCAGGTTGGAGAAACTGAATAATTCGGTTTGGCGGCAGGAGGAAAGGAATCACATCTTCGCTCCAGCCTCCCTGAGCTCGGCCCCGCGCGCTGTGGATAGAACCTCCGCATTCAGCGAGGCCCGGAGAAGGGCAGTCTAAAGAGACCTGCATCTTCCTCTCCGATTTGACTTTTCCTGAAATTTGGAATGATTGCGCCTCTTTTTCTCTTTCTGATCGAGCATTTAGTGCTAGCGCAAGGCGGGCAGCCAACTGGTTACTGAGCCCACCGCCAGCCCGGCCGTGTGCTTCCATTTGCGCTCACCTCCGTGCTCCCCTGAGCGTTTTCTCAGGGATTGGAGTTCCCGCCTCATTTTCCAAATAACCCTGGAGAAGCTCCCGGGGGAAGAGAAGGGGAGAGGCCTTAGGGTCAGCACCACTTCGACCCCAGCACTGCAGTGGGGCTCCCCACGCCCGTCACCCGCTCCGCCATAGGCGACGCTCTCCGGAGTCGTCTTTGCATTACTTGCAAATTTCAGCCTCTGCTCAGGAAAAGTCTTGTACTTGAGATTAGCTGAGATGTTTTATGCACACACTAAACATGTTAAAAACAAAACTAGGAACAATTCTTGGACCTGGACATTCCCCCGCCACACACACACACACACACACACACACACACACGGGGTGGGGGGACGGAGAGAGAGAGAGAACGGTTAACAAAAGATGGGGCGGTTTTGAGGGTGTCTTGGAAGCAGGTTGTGCCGCTGCGGAGCCATACGACGCTGAACTTCGCTGGGTGCGGGAGCAGAAAACATCCCGGGATTGGGGACGCGTGGGCTGGGGGACGCGTAAGTTCCAGGCTTGGTGATGCGGAGCTCTGAAGTTTTCCCTCGGGTGTCCCAGCCCCGGACCCGGTGGACCGAAAGGAGGTGACCGCACCAGGAGCTGGACTGACAGATCGCCGGCTGGCCTGCCAGGGCGCCCTGGGGAAACATAGTGATCCGGCGAGAGGCCCTGAGGCCAACCCCGCTGCAACGAATTTGCCGGGCCGCCAACGAAGGCAGCTCCGCCGGGATTTTCAGACCTTCCCAGACTTAGGCATGGAAAGTTGGTGTTTCGCCGACGTCTTCATCGCCTGGTGCCGAGTGAAAGCCTGAGGTGGGAGTAGTGGGAGTTGGAAGGTTCCTTTAGTGGCAACATCGAAGACAATGCGTGCACGGGCGCACACAATATAACACAGCGCGCACGCGCGCACACACACACATCACAAACGCATAGATGCACAGATGCACAGACAGGTACTTCCGCAACCCAATGGCCTCAGCATATACTCCATAGGCAATCACACAGCCACATCACACATACACAACAAACACAGCACACGGCCACCACACGTACACACACAACCCCCCCCCCCCACACACACACACGCACACTCACGCCTGCCCTCTGGACCCTTGGAGTTGATGGAGGGTCTACAAGGGTGCGGTTATTGGTTCAACTTTTTGACCAGTGACCCCAACCGAACCAGAGCCTTTGGAAGTCCACACTGCTTTTCTTTCATAACAAAAGGTCTGGTCTCTGAATCCTGATCAGGGCAGCTCAGCCTGGGAAGAGACAGCCTTACCTCTGCTGGTTTGGGCCTGGGAGAACGAAGGAAGTACTGCCTTGAGGAGGAGAGCGGAGTGGCCGTGTGGGGGCACAGACATACCCATACCCCTTCCCTTCAATGTGAGAAAAATAATCACAACTACAAAAAACCTCAAACTCAGCCTTGCCCTCTGTGTACCCCTGTGTTGGGCTCTTGGGTCCCCAGGCCTGGTGTAGGGGGAGGGTAGACAGAGGTAAGGTGAAAGGTAACTCAGTCCCACCCCGACTCCTCCAGCCCCACCTCTCTCCCCAAACCTCCCCCTCACCTTGCTCAGCTATGGGGGTGGGGCAGGAGTGGTTGGCGGAGAGGAGGGTCCTGGACCCACTCTCAGCAGTTTACAGAGGGGGTGGTGCATCGCGCACCTCCTCCAGCCTGGCTTCCATCCTCGGCTGTCAATCACTCTCATTAATTCTCTTTGGAAAACGATCCCACACTGGAAGTTCACCAACTGCTGCCTGGAAAAGGCTGGGGGATGTGGTGAGGGGGAAGGAAAATGGGCAGAGAAGTGGGGAGGGTTTGCACTAGCTTTGTGGGGTGAGGGCGGTGCAAGCTGGTTGGGGAACCGAGCCCCAAAGACTTTCCATCTTCTCAAGTCAGTTTGCCTCTCCCTCCCCTGCACACCCCTCCCAGACTCTGAGCTGACTCTCACCTGTCCAGGTTGGACCTTGGGGAGAAACAGCTCTTTGCAGCCCAAATTCTGGCATGAGCCCCAAAACTAGTGAAGAAGGGGAGCTCAGTCCCACACTCCCAACCACCAGTCAACCCAATGGGGCACTGCTGCCTCTGGTGCTTTCCACAGGAAACGGGGGGAGGGCAGAGTAGTAGACCTCGGTGTGTAGCCAAGAGGAAGCAGATGAAGGCTCTATTCTTGGAGACCCCTCTGAGGAAACTTGCAGAGCCTGTCCCAGGGCCTTTAGGGGAGAAGGGGAGCAGTGGCAACCTGAGGCCTTGTGCCTTGGGTAACACCATAATATTGATAATACTAGCAAACACTTAAGTGTTGTCTGTGCTCCAGGCACTTTGCTAAGCCCTTACATTTTATTGAATCATCACAAGAATTTTATGTGGTACATTCTCTCTCTATAAGAATATAAGACATACTCTGGCCAGGCACGGTGGCTCATGCCTGTAATCCCAGCACTTTGGGAGGCCGAGGCGTGTGGATCACGAGGTCAGGAGTTCAAGACCAGCCTGGCCAACATAGTGAAACCCCGTCTCTACTAAAAAAAATACAAAAATTAGCCGGGCATGGTGGCATGTGCCACAGTGATCTCAGCTCACTACAACCTCCGCCTCCCAGGTTCAAGTGATTCTCCTGTCTCAGCCTCCCAGGTAGCTGGGACTACAGGCACCTGCCATCACACCTGGCTAATTTTTGTATTTTTAGTAGAGATGGAGTTTCACCATGTCGGCCAGGGTGGTCTCAATCTCTTGACCTTGTGATTCATCCGCCTTGGCCTCCCAAAGTGCTGGAATTACAGGTGTGAACCATTGTGCCGGGTCACATGCATTTTCTTAGAAATCTTCACACAATCCTGCAAAGAGAGTCTTTTTTTTTTTTTTTTTTTTTGATAGGGTCTCACTCTGTTGCCGAGGCTGGAGTGCAGTGGCAAAGACACGACTCACTGTAGCTTCAACCTCATGGGCTCAAGAGATCCTCCTGCCTCATCCTCCCAAGTAGCTGGGACTACAGGCATGTGCCGCCATGCCTGGCTAATTTTTAAATTTTCGTAGAGACAAAGTCTCGCTATGTTGCCCAGACTGGTCTCTAACTCCTATGCCCAATCAAGAATCCTACTCTTGTTTTTGTTGTTGGTGGTGGTGGTTTTGTTTGTTTGTTTGTTTGTTGAGGCAGAGTGTCACTCTGTTGCCTAGGCTGGAGTGCAGTGGCACAATCTCGGCTCACTGCAACCTCTGTCCCAGGTTCAAGTGATTTCTGGCTAAGTTTTGTGTTTTTAGTAGACACGGGGCTTCACCATGTTGGCCAGGCTGATCTCGAACTCCTGATCTCAAGTGATCCACCTGCCTCGGCCTCCCAAAGTGCTAGGATCACAGGCATGAGCCACCAGGCCCGGCCACGAGAATCCTATTCTTATCCCCATTTTACAAATGAGGAGACGGAGGCACAGAAAAGGTGTGTGCAAGGCCTGCATCCACTTGGCTGAAAGGCAAGAAAATGAGGAAAGAACTGAGACTGAGAGTCAGGAGGATCCATACTGTGGAGGGTCTCAAACGCCAACCAAGAGCTTCAAATGGGGCCCATGGGCAGTGGAGAAGACCAGATGGCAGTGGAGAGGCTTCCCAGGAGCATTTGGGTACCAGGGTGGGTTGGGAAGGGA